TTTTTGATTGAGATCATCAAATTCCTTTTTTATTTGATTGAGACTCTTTTCTTTGAAATTTTTTATTTCAGACCTTCTTTTTTATAATGCTATCAATCAGTAGTAGTCGACATACTTTAAAAAAATTTTATTTTACAATGTCATATGTCAAACATTAATTGGTAATATTATAATAGAAGCAGGGCTGTGGCTGTTATGCCTTGGGCTGTAACAGTCTGTGGGGAGAGAAGGGAAAAAAAAAAAAAAAAAGTTGCAGCAGTAGCAATTAATTGCAAAGTTAGGCAGTGGCTGTTAAGCTTAGATTGGCTCTCATACCATGAAGAAACCAAGAATTAATTACAAAGAATTTTCATACATTTTTTGTATTACAATAAACTCTTTAAATAGAGTTTTAGAGATAAAGAAAGAGTTACAGTAAGATTCAGAGATAGAGTTTTTGTTACGTTAAGTTACTGTAATATTTCCAACATTTAACTCTTATCCTCGAATAATTCTTATCCTTATCAAGACATACTTGTGGGTCCTGATTCATATGTTCTTTATATCTAAACATGAAACACATTTTTGAGTTAGTCAAGCACTTTCTTAAATTAAATATCTAAACATCAAACACATTTTTGGATCAACGAGTCAAGTATAATTTAACATAAAACACATGTTGGGTTAGTCAAAACAGACCAATTGGATCAAGAGTCAAAGTATAATTTAGACATGAAACACATTTTTGGGTTAGTCAAGTACGGGCTTGTTAGAGCACATATCTTACGTCAAATAGTTAAATAAAAAATGAGTAATAAATAAAGTTGAGAAGAGTCACCTATTATAAGACTTAAGTCTTTAGATAAAATTCAATCTAAACTATTCCATGAGTACTATATTACTCAAAAGTTTCTTAGTTTTAACATTTTTTTTTTTTTTTTGGTAATTTTCTTGACAATTTGATTACCTAAATTCAGATTCTAATTAACGGGAAACCCATTTTGGATTCCTAACTCATAACTTTTTACTAATTAATGTACTTATTACAAACATTTTCGACAAAAAGAGAGAGAGAGAGAGAATAGGCTTGTAAATTAGGTAGGAAAAAAAAAAGAAGGAGTTCTTGCTGATGCCCAGTAATTCAACTTTGAATACTTTTAATGTTATTAAAGAAACGTAGGTAAAAGAAATAAAATAATGAGTTAATTGTTTTCTTTTTTATCAAATATTAAATTATAATTAATTAATTTAAATTCAATAATTTAGATTTAAAGAAGATAACTGTTCTATAAAATCAAGCTAGATCCTACTTTTTATTGCCTTCCCCTCCATAAGAGTAATATTTATTACTTATGTTTTTGGACAAACACAATATTGACTGGATAAATTTAGAGGCCCAAAACGATGAAGTCAAGATAGCTGTTTCTAGTCGTCCCACAAATCGTAAAATAATTTAGTAGGTAAGTGTGGCATAAATCACGTCAAACTAGACCCAGACCCAGTTGACTTGTGTTGTCGTCCGAGTAAGCTTGCGATGACAGTACTTAACTGAATGATGGACCTTGTTAATTATTGAGAAACCTCCATTCTCACGGGCTAAACCTGACGTACCTTAGAAGAGCCTTGCATGTTGTGGCAGTGGCCTCATTTTGGTAAAAACCTCACCATACAAAATATTGTAGCTCAAATCAAGGTAGTTCAAGTGAGGTTATTAGAAGCCATAATCTTCGGTTATATGCCATGTCAGTTCGTTCTAGTCAAGCCTAAGTCTCAATAAACTAGTACAGTTACGCAAGCTTTGGGGGATTGGACTAGAGAAATGGTTAGTGAAGCTTTCAAGCAAGCCTCCTACCTAGGAACAGATCTTGAGGCAAATTACCAGTGAATTTGTTGCGTGACAATAGCACCACCATATAGTGTGTGAGTTTATTTATATTTTTGGGAAAGGAACCGGATAGTTGGTTACAATCAGAGCTAAGCTTTGACGAGTTTGTCAAAGTTTCCTATTGAAGCTGGGACAGTATCAGTTAAAACATTGCTTGACAAATCAATTTATTGAGAGACTCTAGCAATCTAATTTCCCTCCCCCCACCAAAAAAAAAAAAACAAAACCTAAACACTACCAACAAATAATCAAATACAACCACCCCTAGCCATATCTCTAACCCACTAAACAATGTTTTTTACTTATATTTTGAAAGATTTCCTGACTGGAATGATTACAAGGCCATCAAGAAGACTTTTGCTAAGTATAGAGAGGCTCTGCAGCTGTTTGTTTCAAGGAAAAAAACGACACTGAGACGGTGTTTTGGATTCGTTCATATTCAGTTCAATCTCACGTCAGAGGCTCTCTAGAAAGATTGGATGATATTTGGTTTGACTCTTTTAAACTACGATTGGATGTTGCCAAATATGATTGCCGTAAGCCCAGAGAGAAAATTTATATGGTGATCCCATGGCTAATATCTTTGCCTGACAAATAAATGGAGAATCAATAAAATGTCGGGATGAACATGATTTGGAAGTTTGCGACATTGGTTTTGTGGGATTTAGATTTGTAGGAGTTTCTCAAGCTGTTATTTCCTTTGATTATGTACAATGGAAGAAAAAAAGAGAGAAAAAAGAAGAATCCCTCTTGTATATTAATGTGCTTAAGCAGGTGTATATATATATATATATATATAAGAATTGGTTAGCTAATAGGATACTAACTGTACAAAGATAAGAAATATGAAGAGTTTAATGACAGGACTGTATGTGTCCTTGAAGTCCAGACCAGGTCCTTGGTTGAATATTTTGGCCACCAATATAGCTTTTTACCAATTAATGGTACATCACTATTAGTCTTCACCTTATAGAGCCATTTATTGCCAATGATATTGTAGGTGTGATAGGGTGGAACAAGCTCCCATGTTCCATTATCCATTAGTGCTAGGAATTTAGCAACCATGGCCGCTCACCAATAATGATTCGACTGACCATGATGGTAGGTGGATGGTTTCGGATGAGAAGTAATCATAGAGAAGGTGCAAAGCTTTAACTTGCCAGTTTTGGCATGGGTCATCATGCTATAAGAGGGAGCTGTGCCTATTGTAGGTTTGGCAGTAGTTGACGAAGTGCCAGGAAGTAGAACAGAGGCAGTAACATGCGTCACAATATTGGTGGATGGTGCATGGAATGTAGTTTTGTCTACTAGAGAGCGAGGCATAATAGAAGACTGGCCTTGTGAACTTACCGTGGCAAGATTGGAGAATCAATGATTGGTCGTGAGATTAAGTATGGGCAGTGGGAGGATGAGACGTAGTAGGATGGGGATTTGTAATTGTGTTGTGGTTGGTTGTGATTTGGTGAGAGGCAGGGATTGGTCATATGTTTATGGCATGAGTATTTTAGATTAGCAAGGAGTGCATGACTAGTTGTCGCAACATGATATCAAACGAGACTCTAAAAAAATTTTAGATTTTTAGAGATTTTGCATCTTGTTTGTGTGTTATTCTAGAGATGTGAGTTATTATTGCATTTAGAGTCGCCACCTAGTATTAAAAGCAATAAGAACCTAAAATAACACTCGTGTAGAAATTCTTAAATAAGGAATTAGTTATACTTTAGGAAGATATCAATCACGTAAAGAGCTCTTTCCTAAGAAAGGTATCGGGTCTAGTTTAGTACTAAATTCATCTCCTAAAGCATTTTATTTTATGCAAAGTTATTTCTAAATTGAACTCTAATAGTCAAGTTAAATTAAGTTTTTTATTTAGGGCGTGGCATCGTATTAAAATGACCATCGACCTCCTTAATCAAGCGACACGTCGATTCAAACATCGCATTCACTTTAACTCTCGACACAACCGATGTATCGGAGAACAACCCGATTATTAAATGTTGTTAACTTATGTTTAGGTGGGGAATTGTCATCGATCCTTAAGAATTAGGAGACTTGACAATTCGTCACCCATTTGGTTGTCCAAGAAAATTCTAAAAAATTAAAGTATGCTTCCCTTTTTTTTCATTTTATATTTTTTATCAATAGAGAATTGTCATCGGTCCCTAAAAATTAGGAGACTTGACAATTCATCTATCGTTTGATTATCTAAACTAGTTATGAAAATAAAATTCTAAAACTAAAATTAATTTAAACTAACTAAACGAAATTTCAAGAAAATTAGAACATTAAAATCTAAAATGAAACAAGAAATGAGCATGCGTTAGTAAATATTCAAGACAAATTATCTAAAACAAAATAAATAAATAAAAACAATTAAAACTAAAAACATTAAGTTTTTTATGGGCTATGGGCCCATTGGGCTAGACGCATCTCTTTTTCCTTTTTTTTTTTTTTCTTTCTTATTATTTACTGGCGCTTAGGCTGGGATAAAAATAGCCCAAGCTTTGGGGTATGCGGGCTGGGTTTAGCCTAGCTCGATTGGCATTCCCACGTGTTGGACAATCCAGCCCTTATTCCCACGAGATGGACCTGGACCTCTAGCCTTTTCCATTTTTATTTTTAAGAGAAGCAAACCTCAATCTTGTGACATTTCTTAAACCAAAAAATTTAACAAAATTAAAAGATTATACCTTACATCCTTTCCTCCTCTTCTGCATCTTTTGTTTCTTTTGAAACTAACAAACCCAAATCCATGAGACCTCCTAGTATCTCTATCAGTGACAACCCTTGCATCGGTCACTTTCCCAAAATTAACGGATGCATCCTTGAGAGTTTGATCATCAGTTGATCATGAAAGCCTTCCAATGATAAGCTTTGACGAAGATATGGAGTGGATAGAGTTCAGCATGAATGTTAATGGAGTTTGACTATGTTGGGAAATCGATTGCCTCACTAGGATCCCAATCTTGTTATGGAAAGCCATTTCAATAGTGGATTTTGAAGAAGACACGAGGAAAAAGGTTTTAGTTTTGGGAGAGAGTTAAATGAAAGAAGAGGCTAGGATTTGAGAGGTGATTAGGTATTTATGTTTGATTAGGACTTTGGTATTTATAGGTTATGAAGATGGGTGATGTTAATGGATCGTGGCTTTAGAGGGGTGTGCACGCCAGATGTTTATGTTTTTACCCGTGAGAGGTCATTTCAAGTATGGAGAAGGACAGTTATGGTGGATCATGTGGTGTGGTTTTTTTTTTCGAGTTGGAGTTTGGTGGCGCTAAGGGAGACTTAGGTGAAGCTTGGTGACGTGTTGATTTATGGGCAAAGGAGGAGAGGGACAATGGGGCTAACTACTGTGGTTGAGTTTTGTAGGTGTGACTTTTATGGTTGGTTACTGATGTTGAGTTTTGCAATGGTGGGGATGGTTGCCAGGGTATGTGGAAGTGACAATAGGATGTTGGTGTTTAGGGCTAATGAAAATGATGGTTGGCTAGTGTGTTGATTAGATGGGAGTTTATGGTGAAGGTAGAGTCTCTGGTAGAGAGGGACTCCTGACCTGGTGGCGTCTAGCTTGCTTGCAGTTTTGCTGACAATGGTGCCACCCTAGAGACTTCTTGTATTTAGGATGTTCGATCATGAGCATCAGAAACCAATCATTGGTTTTAAGGGTATCGGGTAGGAACTGTGGGCATTGAATTGGTGGAGGAATGATGGTAGTAGAGGCCAAGATAGCGCTGCTTGTCTTGTGTAATGGTGAAGGTTAGAGATTATGGCTTTGGTCACTGGTGGTGAGGCAGGGGTCTATGTGTGTGGCTATGACAGCCTTCCTTGGCAGTGAGGGTGGTTGCCAAGCTTTGATTTTAGCCTTGAAGATGGTGAGTGGGTATGGGTTTGTGGGTGTGACTATCAATGGAAGGCTTGATAGTGGAGGAGGAATCCGTCGGGATGATGATGGTGGGAGGTTCTTTTTAGAAAGACTACATTTTTGCTTGTTAGGTTTTTTTAGGGTTCGAAGAATTTTTAGAGGCTCTTTTCTTGTGGCTGCCCCCTTCTAAAATGAATGAAAAGTGTTGCTTTTATAAGAGATTTCTTGGGTTGAGAGGAGTGAGTCCTTTTTTATTTTTTTGCTTTTTTGTATTTTGAATTTGATGTATATATTTTTTGTATTTTTGTTCTTTTTTCATTTTTTTTAGTTTTTGTAGTAAATTCTAAATGAAGGAAATGAGATAAAATAAAATAAAAGAATGAAAGAAATAAATAAAATAATAAAAAATGTGGGGAATTTTTGGGTAATGACACTAGTCATGGGAATGAGGCATTGCTGGAGTAGAGTTTTGGGCAAGGGAGGATAGGTTATGTGAAGGACCTGGAGGTGGCCTAAAGGTTGAGTGAATCATGGACTATAGGATGGGTGTTAGCTGATAAGGTGTAACGTCAACGATAAGAGATATGGAAGGATGAGGTTGGGTGTGGGACTATGGTACTGAGTGTGGGACGAGAATGTAAACTATGGAATGAGAGACAAGTTGTAAGGACTGTGTTTCAAAAGGAATGTGGGATTGGAAAGCAGATGGCAATTGTTTTTTTCTTGTTTAGAACATCTGGACCTTAGCTACAGTGAACTTGGTAAGGCTAGTGACTGGATTCAAAGGGTTACACAATCTGCCTCACCTAAAAACCTTGCACTTGAGATTGTGCAATCTTTCAGTTATAGTTTCTCGGTTTTTTTCAGTTGCCAATTGTTCTAAATCTCTTGCAGTCCTTGATCTTCACTCTAACTATCTTACTTCTTCAATATACCTTTGGTTACATAATTTCAATGCTAGCCTTGTTGATCTTGACCTTTCCTGGAACCTGTTAGAAGGACAAACACCAGATGCATTTAGAAACATGGTTGGTCTCAAGCGTCTTGATCTTTCCTTTAACTTTTTACAAAGTTTTCCAAGATTTTTGGGAAATATTTGCCATTTACAAACACTAGATCTGTATTTCAACAATATCAATGGTGTGTTTTTTGAATCTATTCAAAACTAGAATGGATGCATTGAGAATTATACCCTGCAATCAACTTAGTGGTGCATTGCCTGATATTACAAGATTCTCTTCCTTGAAAGAGTTGGACCTCTCTTATGACCAACCGAATGGCACTTTATCAGAAAGCTTTAAATGGCATTCTAAACTTGTTTTTTTGAGTTTAGAAAGGAACAATTTGACAGGATCAATACCTGATCTGACAATGTTGCCATCTTTAAAGGAAATCAGAATTGCAAACAATAATTTAGATGGGACTATTTCTGAAACTATTGGAAGCTTCTCTGACCTTCAGCATCTGGATTTATCTCAAAATTCTTTGCAAGGGGTGATGGATGAAGCTTACTTTTCAGATCTCTCAAAGCTAAGATATTTGGATTTGTCTTACAACTCTCTGTCTTTGGAATTTCAAAGTGACTGGTTTCCACCTTTCCACTTGGAAACCTTACTTCTTAATTCCTGCAACTTAGGGCCTAATTTCCCTCGATGGCTTCAGACTCAAACCAATGTTTCTCGCCTTGATATCTCTAGAGCTAGTATTTCAGATACCACATCCAACTGGTTTTGGGATTTATCTCCTAATTTTATTTTCTTAAACATTTCTCAAAATAAGATGTGTAAAATGTTGCCGAATTTTTCATCAAAGTATGCTACTTACATTGCATTTAATTTAAGTTCAAACAATTTTGAGGGTCCTTTACCACTTTTTCCTTCTAATTTGGCTGCCTTAGATCTATCTAATTATAAGCTCTCCGGATCCATTTCTTCTATATGTGAGATTCCCAGTAGCGTTTTGAGCTTCCTTGACCTTTCAAATAACCGTTTATCTGGGGGGTTTCCTGATTGTTTGTTGCACTTGCAACAGCTAGTTGTTCTGGATTTGGGCAACAACAATTTGTCAGGGGAAATTCCAAGTTCAATAGGATTGTTATTGATGCTTCGGACACTGAGTCTACCTAACAACAACTTTTTGAGAGAAATCCCAGCTTCTTTAAAGAATTGTAACTCACTGATGTCTCTTGATTTGAGTGAGAATAGTTTATCCGGAGAAATACCAGCTTGGATAGGCGAAAGCCAATCAAATTTGTTGTTCCTTTCCCTGCAGTCCAATGAATTCTTTGGCAGCATACCAATTCATCTATGTCAGCTAAAAAAATTCAAATCTTGGACCTCTCTCAAAATAATATATCTGGACGGATACGTAAGTGTTTCAAGAATTGGAGTTCTATAGTTGAGAAAGTAGAAAAAGTCATAGGAACTCGTTTTATGAACCCAGGTTGTCCAATGAAGTTGGTTGTGGAAACTACTACTTAAACAAGGCTTATGTTGAATGGAAAAGAAGAAAGTATGAGTATGGAAGTAATCTTGGACTGTTAGGGGTTATTGATTTTTCAGGAAACAATTTGACAGGAGAAATTCTGGAAGAAATAACAGATCTTTTTCAGTTAATGGCATTGAACTTATCGAGAACCAACTTGATTCGAGTAATCCCTCAAAAAGTTGGTCAACTGACACAATTGGAATTACTTGATTTGTCAATGAATCAGTTATCAGGTGCAATTCCTATGTATTTGGCTGATCTTAATTTTCTGAGTCACTTGAATCTCTCCTACAATAACTTGTTAGGAAAAATCCCAACAGGCACTCAAGTTCAGAGTTTTGATGCTTCGGCATTTATTGGCAATCTTGCATTGTGTGGCCTGCCTCTCACACAGACATGCCCTGGAGATGGACCCGAAGGACCACCTACCAGTGCTGAAAACCAAGAGAATGGAGAAAATGCTGATGACTTCGATAAATGGTTTTACATTGGTTTGGTCGGCGGATACAGTGCAAGCTTTTTAGGAGTTTCAGGTCCTTTGTTGCTCAAGCCTTCTTGGAGAAGTTCCTGTTTCCATTTCTTGGAGGAATCATTGAACTGGCTCTATGTAACAATAGTTGTGTTTAAGGCCGGACTACAAAGAAAATGTAAAAGCTAGACAGCTAGCTGTTTCGTTTTTTTCTTCATTTTTGTTGGATTGCACAGAATTTGCCTCATTATCATTGGACACTAATTACATGAAAGACATAAAAATTACAAACACAAACCCTTGGAAACAGTGTAAAACAAATTAATAACAACATTTACCTTTTAATTTTGACAATTGAAGAAATTAGCCAAAGCCCCACACATGGCCAATGAACATTGCTTAATTTACTGTAAAGTTCAGTTTACTTTCGTGCAGTTGGTATGAATCTGTCCATTGCTTCCTGTTAGTGGACTAAGGCTCCCCATCTTCACCATGGCACTACAAAAATCTGCATATAATGTTGCAGCATTGGTGCTATATGTCTTGACCTTCGAGTCCGTAGAGCCTCCACTGAAAAGCTGTTGGTCCTAGTGCAGAAGGCCCTTGCTGTTTGCCAAGTTCTTGAAATAAGAGTTATCAAATGTGACATGAGTAATAGCATCTAGAGAAGAAAGGCTGTCATCACTTCCTGTGTTTGGACAATTTGATTTTAATGATGTTGCCAACGTTGTATCAAGGCTGGTCTCGCTGTAGACCCGGTTTCGAAAAATCAAACACCTGGCTTCCCCTATTGTGTGAGATCCTACGTATTCATGTGAATGATTGCAGGAAGTTTAAAACCGAAATTAAACGATGCAAGAACCTTATTTGTAGAGAAGATTTTCTTTTTATTTTACCCGAGCCAAAACCAAAAATGGTCTAAGCCACTGATTGGTTCTTTCATTCTTAATACAGTTTTGCTTTCTCTTTTCCAATTGATGTGGGACTGTTTCCAACACATTGACGGAAAAGTTCTCCTCCATTCTGATTAGAGCTGTTTGAGGGTGATGGTAGTGATCGGCTGGTGAAGTATTATGGTTAATTAAGTAGCTGCATTTTTGGCAGACTATGCTGCTTCCATGATCAAGATGGGATATCTTGTGGGAACCAATGGAGCTATCAGAATGAATTGCAGAATAAGGCCTCTGTTAAATGTGCATGCATGCCTGGTTTCAATTATATATATATATATATAGAGAGAGAGAGAGAGAGGGGTATTTTCGTGTAGTTTTCGCATCAATTGAAACTAACTCCACCACTTCTTGAGTTAGTCTTTACCAAATCACATCAAGTTTTTGGTGAATTCTAAAAACTAAATCCTTTGAAGTCATCAACAATCTATGTTTAATATCAGACAAAAGAAAAAGAAGAGTTTTTCAATGATGAGAATTGAACTCCTGGTTGGATCGTCCTTCTTATTATATTTTTATGATTATAAATAAAATTCTACAAGATATATAATGGTACTATCTCCGTCTTCAATTTACGCAGACAAAAGGGCTAAGACTCAGGTTCAAATCTTGTTCTTTAAACCTAAAAAACCTTAAGAAAAAGCAAACATCTGCCGAAGTAGAAACAATACCATGATCATTTCTTAATTAATTGCTGTTTCACAATTCATCATAAAGTAGTTTTCGAACACTAATTACACGAAAGAAAGAAAAATTACAAACACAAACCTTTGAACACAAACTACATCGAATTAATTACAACATTTATTTTTTAAATTGACAATTGAAGAGAATTATCCAAAGCCTTACGGCTAATTACCATTGCTTAATTTACTGTAAAGTTCAGTTTACTTTTGCACAGTTGGTACGAATCTGTCCATCGCTTCCTGTTAGTGGGCTAAGACTCCCCATCTTCACCATGGCACTAGCAAAATCTGCATAGAATGTGGCAGCATTGATGCTATATGTCTTGACCTGCGAGTCCGTAGAGCCTCCACTGAAAAGCTGCTGATCCGAGTGCAAAAGGCCCTTGTTGTTTTCCAAGTTCTTGAAATAAGAGTTATCAAATGTGACAGGAGTAATAGCATCCAGTGAAGAAAGACTGTCATCACCTCCTGTGTTTGGACAATTTGATTTTAAGGATGTTGCCAATGTTGCATCCAGGCTGGTCTCATTGTAGACCCGGTTTCGGAACATCAAACACCTGGCTTGCCCTATTGTGTGAGATCCTACATATTCATGTGGAAGATTGTAGGAAAGTTAAATTGTAGGAAAGTTAAAACCGAAATTAAAAGATACAAGAACCTTATTTGTAGAGATGTTTTCCTTTTTCTTTTACCTGAGAGAGCAACCATTTCTTTAGCAGTGAACCCTTTATTTGAGAAGGAAGTTATTAGGTCACTGAGATCCATGAGTGGAGATGGAAGATCGGTGTTAGCACCATCGAAACTTGCCGTGGTCGAATCTCTTCTCCCCAACTGAACTGGCCATGAAGGTCCACTCAACTGGAGAAAAAATATGTAGAAATTTATGTGATAGGTAAAAACTGAGTCGTTTTCAAGGCTATCATCTTATTCGGTGCCTTCTTCATCGCCATCGAAACCACGAAAAAGGCACCCTTCAGCATTCGATCATCAGGTGCCTTTTCAGTTCCTTTGAAGGCACTGATGAAGAAGGCATACATGCTCTATATACTCTCTCAATCTAAAAACGGTTGTCCACTTAAAGTTACAACATTTATTTTTTACACAAATTAAAAAGATTATTAATTATTATGCTATATCACTTAAAGTTTCGATCAGATAAATATTTAAGACATATAAATATAAAAATAGATAATTTTTTTGGGACGGAAGGAGTATGTTACTTACTAAAGCAACTGAATCTCGAGCAGCCACAGCTAGGATATCAGCACAAGAAACAACTCCAGGGCAAACAGTCTCTAGTTGGGATTTAATGGTATCAATGACATCATAACCTCTCAAAGAATTTACATTTGGGCCTGCAGTCTTTTCTCCAGTAAAACTTGAAGTGTCGTCTAATAGAACTGATGCATCACATCCCTGCTTGAACAAATAATAAACATCCTCTTCAAATTGCAATATTTGACAATAATAGAAGCATTTGTTAATGAAAATATATGATTGTATATATTTAATCTTGCCACAAGGAATTAACTATGATAATTAATTAAGCATACATTAAAATAGCTGTCATGCTTGTGCATGCATGCAGGTTTTACGTACAAGCGAATATATAGTTTGTTAAACTCAAAGACCTAACCATAGAATTAAAGACTCGGATTTGGTATACGAACTAGTCCGAAAATACCCTAAAAAAAAAGTTACGGATTTGTGTTGGAGATTGAATGTTCCCCAAGTTCAATAGCATACATAAATTATAGATTGCTTATTTACTGATTTTTGTGACTATATGCGCACGTATATGTATGTGAAAGAGAAGAAGGAGAAGGAGAAGAAACGTGCATTAACGAAGCAGTCATGGAAATGGAGGCGAAGCAAGGATGCTCCCATGCGATGCTCCTTTGCAACTGCTTTGAATACAGCAGTTCTGATGGTAGAGAGAGCTTTGGGGCATGTTGTTGCATAGAAATAGGGTGATAATTGTGCGTGGGCTAATCCAAGCAAAATCATAGAGAAATACAACCCGTAGAACATTTTTGAGTAAGCCATAATCCAAGAAGTAAAGAACACAAAGAGGAAGGAAAGTTGAATTGATGATATATCTCGTCTTTGTGGTCATGTAACAGATGTAGAGGATGCCTATTTATAGGAAGCATGTTGTTTGGACTGTCTACCATTTTACTTTGGGTTTAAGGTCAAAGATTATGTTCAAAATATTTAAGTATATTAAAAGCAAAGAAACTATTGTACGCATTCATGATAGTGGTGAACCCACTTTCTCTTATATTATTCTTAAATCTTTGACGAAGGAACATAAGTAGTGTACGTAAGAAATCATTTCGTGTTAGCCATTGCAAAAAAAATTTTACGTATAATAATTAGGCAATTAATCCCAATAAACCAATTTGGTTTTATGTTTATTATTTTTAAGTTAAAATTCTTTCAGATTGGTGGCAACTTTACGTTCTATGGCCTTATATATTGGAAAATATTTTGAGCCGTTGGTCTCGATACAAGTGCGGTTGGGATACCTTTTCCTACATTTTCCTCTTGTTTCATCGGGAAAAAAAAAAAAAGGGATTACACAATAGAGTAGCTATCTTCGAAAATAAATCATTAATAATTTTACATCTATTTCATTAAAAAAATTCCACTGAATACACAACCACGAGGAAGTATTCTATCAAACGCACAAAGTAGGAATAGTTATTCAAAAAGTTTTTTACATATATAAGAATTCGAATTCAAAACTACTTATTTAAGCAACTAGATGATACTTTTTAAATATGTATGGATGATTACGTGTCTTGAGAAGAGTGTGACAAGAATCTAAGATAGTGTATCTCTCTTCCATTTAATACACCAAGAAAAGGTTTTGAGTGATTAATGTTTGAAGGTAGATCATGATATCCATCACCTGCTGAATGTCGCTAAATTAAGTTTGTCAAAGGTGCAGTGGCATTGGATGATGATGCATGGTGGTAGGTATGGTGTGAACAAAGATCGATGAGGAATCTATAATTAATAATTGTCAACTGAAGTGCCAATGCCAATATTTTTTTCTGCTTTAATTATAAGTAGAATTGTCTTCAACCATCTTGATTTGCAAGACATGATTCTGCGAATGCCCCAAACTTTACAGTTTTCTACCCTCTTGTGCTCAATAATGGATCCACCGTTGAATTATGCTAAAGAGTAAACGAGATGACAAGATAATGGAATGACAAAAGTCCTCAAGATTCATATTAAACCTCTTAGCTAGGTTGAATTTAGAGAAACTTTGCTTGGAGAAGATAATCAGTTTGAAATTTATTTTCTCCTCTGAATTTTTGTATATTATTACTAAGTAAAAACTATTGACGTAGATAAGCACAACTTTTTTTTATCCAAAAAATATACAATTATTTTTTTTTTTTTTGGTCAACTTTCATAGTGTTAAAGGATCATCTCATCCAAAAGCTAAAATAAGGATAGGAGGATTTGAATTCGCAACCATTTAATCATCAAGGCTCGATACCATATCAAAGGATCATCTCACTTAAAAATTTAAACTATTAGATGAGGTCTCAAGATATGATTTATATTATTCTCTAACATATATCAATCAAGATTAACTAAAATTAAATCCATCATTTCTAGGTTAAATTAGTGTTAAAACTCGTTTAATCTTTCGACAACCGAGCTACTTTTAAAACTAAATCAGCTCAAATATGATATTATTAAAGAATAATTATAACTAGTTATTTATAAATAATATGTGTTTAGTCTTGACTAAACCAAGATACGTTGTTGGTGGAAATGGTATCTGTTAAGACTCCATTAAGTTAAACTAACCACGCTGACAAAATGGATGTGTATGTACATCCTCCTTGGATTCAAATTCCTCACTCCAAAACAATTAATAATGAAGAAAATGATGGGTCAAAAGGGTACCAAAGAACCTCTTCTTTTCTTAATAGTTTAACGGTTAGGTTCTGATCAACTTACATATGCATGAGATTAAGTTTTATTTTGTCGGATTTTGAAGAGTCTATCCACACTCTGTGATACATACATTTACGAGATATTCTTTTCTCAGTATCAGATCATGGAGATAAAGACACGGCAACAACAAAAAGATAGAGTTGCTCCTTGTGTGTTATTCCTAGCGACTTAAGTGATATACATGTATTACAATTCCACTTGGTATTATCTCTCTTAAACCATAGATATGCCTCATGTAGATCATTCAGCTATATATATATATATATATATATATATATATAATATCTCTGCAACAACACGTACGTTAGTGTGGGTGTGCAAGTGATTATTCAAATAATATAGTGTAGTAATTCTCATAGCGATTCCCTTAGATTTTGAACTTGAGATGATAACTTGGGACAAACTTTCTGCATGAACCAATATCTATGCATTAGAATCAAGGGAGGAGAAAGATGATAAAGTGCACGCAGCAGTAGGAGTTGACAATGCTTGTATACTGTACATGGTCGGGATATGATTTATATTATTTTCTAAGACTTACTTAAATGAAACCTTTTTGGATAATAGAATTCGAACTCATGATCGTTTGATGATCAAATCTCGATATCATATCAAATAATCATCTCACTCAAAAATTAAACTTCTAAAATTCGATTTATATTATTCTTCAACACATTTTTTATATATACAAATTCTGTGAGCCTCGTGAATGATAATGTCAGCAGCACATCATCATGGGAAAAAAATAGTTAGCATGATGTCGATATGCCCCCATGTTTCTAATGTCAACTAAACGCATTATTGTTGCAGGGTGGTGGCATGGGAATGTTTTGTAGTTTTTCAATGAATTACTTGTCAGAGATTTGAACTTCATGATTTTCCTCACTCACCACCAAGTGATGGTTGCACATTGTCACTTTAAATAGGTTGCTTTTGGTTTTATAGCCAAGCCATTTTCTCCTACCTCTTTCATGCTTTTTTTTAAAAAAAAATTAATTTACTTTTGTTATGAAATAATGAATATTCATTTCATATTCTTCATTATTCATATGATTTAATTTATCATTCAATATAAAAAATTAAAAAAATAATATAATTTATTCAATTATTTATGCATCTTTTAATCGCTTATAATCTATTCCAATTCTCTTGTTATTTTTATTTCTTTCATAACAACTTTTCACTAGTTTAATAATTTTATCTTATTTTTTATAGACTCGTTAATTAAAATTAAACACTTTTTTAATATAAATTGATTTAGCACTCTTTTCTAATTTTTTTTAAAATAAATAATTAATTAATTGTATGTTTTCTTCTTCTTCTTTTCTCTTTTTATTGATTAAAATCAAACATATTCATAAGTTATATTTAAACTCAAATATAAAATATAAATATTTTATAATAAATATTAAATTACACAATTCCTACAATTAATGTTAATTAATTTTTATTTTAAATCTATATTTTTTAAAATTATTTAAAATATTAAAACATATTATATCAACTTATTCACATCAATTTTTTATAAAAGCATAACTCGAAGATTCATGAGAATTTTATTTCTCAAAATTGGGATAAGGGTTAAATCCTAACGTCTATAAGGGAGACATTCCCTTGACTATCAACAAAACCATCAGGTTTTGACTAAAGCCTTTGAAAATCACCATTCACAGGTTTGAAATGACTAGCCAAAATAAAAAAGGAATATTGTCAAACATGTGAACTGTTTATGGGATTAAATCACTAAGTTGCCAATTGACCAAGAAAGAAAATCCCAATTCTAAGATTCGAGAGGTGTGGATAAAGTTGACAGGGATTGGTAAGACATGAGAAACACTTCTCAAAATTGACACCAATTTGTACCTTTTTCGACTGTTTGGGGTTTTGCCTAAACATGTAAAACGTTCAACTCAAGCAAAGATCTTGGCGCAGTCCCACCAGCAATATCTCAAAGTTGACAGACATAAACAAAAACCAGAAAGGAAGGAAATAGAATAAAGAATACTATTGTGGAGTTTCTTCTCCACCCCAAATGATAAACAAGTGATCAACATGGATGAAAGGAACCAACCATTCAAAATAATCATAAATCAAACCATCATTCGATTCATTGGAGTTGGCAGAAAACTAACTTCATTAACCCATTCGAGACTACTTGATAACAACTGAAAGATTCAAGGTTCCTTGTGATTGTGGGTGAAACGGTTGATGTAAATATCAAAGAACATTTCATCAGCTTATTATTATACATGAAAGGTAACAAGCATTAATATACTTACTGAACAAATCTATTGCACTCTCAGTGGCTACCAAAATTTCATCATGTAGCTGCATTCGGAAAACTGTTTCCTAAAAGTAATATGATAAGTTTCCATTCTTTTTGGGGGAAGAAGGGGCAAAAACACTCCCGTATTAAGAAGTTAGAACACAAACTTTTCTTCCTCCGCCCCAACTGAGAGCTCTCTATCTTTCATCTCTCCAAGAGCAGTGGCAGCTGAATCACTTATGCCCAACAAATACTGCAGACGGGACAGTTTTTCTGGTGCTGGGTTATTTTTCATGTAGATGAAGTACAAATCAGCTAGCTCCTCTGGCACCTCCCATGTCAATGGCTCTGAAGGCACAGCTTTATCACAAGCCAGTAAGTCATTAAGACTGGAAACCTGCAAAAGTGGTTAAAGAGACCTCAGACCCTTTCCCTATGCATTAAAAAGATTATTTAAATTGAAGATTTAAAAGTACATACCACTCCTTGTTGATTTCTCTGCCTTAGTAGCGCCACAGCCTGAATAAGTGAGTTTGATAGTCTACCCCGTGCAAGGTCATGGACAACCCCTTTAGCCTTCTCAGCATTAATGTTTAGATCTTCTGGGATTTTCTCATAGACTTCCTCTTCGTTAAAATCCCCAGTGCCTGACGAGAAAATTTCATCTACAGTTTTCTTGTACAGGTTTTCTCGCAAGTTTTCAGATATCAAGCTGTTGAAGTCAATACTTGCTTCCTTGAGCTCTCTTATCTGCTTCATATTGAGCCTCCCTCGATTGATAGCAGTTTCAAGAGCAGCTGCCATTTTTGTAGTTGTAATATCCTTTATCACTTTCTGTGCATACTCAGGTGGCAAGCCAACTTGCTTCTGCACGTCATTGAGCTGCTCAATCCTGGCTTTCGTCAATTGTCCATCAGCTAAAATTACCTCAGCTTGTTGCCTAAATGCCTGCTCAGCTAGGCTCCTATGGACTTCCACAATTTCCTTCACAGTCAAACCCAAAATTCCACCAAGCTGATTCAGCAAAAGGTACTCTGAATCATCCTTTTTTGTGGTGATTTGAGCACCAAATGGAATTCTGGTAACTTCCCCAGTTAAGCAGTAAAGTAGATATGTCTTGTACAGGTCAGTCCTATCCCTTTCAGGAAGGTCATCTTTAAGGTTTATCTCCGTCTGGCCAGGCTTACCCATCTTTGCAGCAACCTCCTTACTAGGTCTGATTTTCTTAAGTGTGTCAAGGTTCTCCCATTCCTCGTCATCCCATTCCTCATCATCTTCAATTTGCTTTTCTTCCACCTTACTAGGCTCTTCTGGAGGAGTAACAGAAGATTCCCCTTTTATGTCAGCCACCAGTTCAGTCACCACTAATGAATTGAAGGCAATCAATTTCCTTAGTTCTTTAGCACCCTCAGTGCGGTTTTCAGCCATCCGTGCTCGCTTTACGTAGTTTAATAAAATCCTTCGGACCTGCAACAAGAAAAGAGTTTTTGAGCAAAAGGAAGCATGTTGAATTTGAAATTATGTTCGCTTTAAACCATAGGCACCGGCTAGTCGGAGTGTATACTCACCGCCTTGCCAGCAATAGACATAGCAGCCTCCCGTGTTAAGCGCAAGCCATGAGCAGCCTTTCTTACAGCCTTCTTAACATCAGCATCATAGCCATCAACCCCTGAAGCAATTGCATCTTTAACCACCTGAAAAACAATGGCATGCATCATCAATAAATTGATTAAGTTGAGTGGCAATTCAGCAATCGGCATTATGAACTTAAATCCTATAACAGATAGGCAATATCTCTTCATTTCAGTTAAGTCAGGAAATTCTACTTATACCCCAAATATTTAGGATAATGAAGCTAGAGGAGTCAGGGCACCAGCAGGCAGTCAGCATGGCTAGACCCTTGCCCTTTATGAGATATCCAAACAGTTTAAAATTGCAAATCCTCAAAGCAAGCAAGTAATAGAGACGTTGAAGAACAATGCAAAACAAGAAACAAGGCCCTCCGTAGATTCCACACAGCCCCATTACATAAGTATAGACACTTACAAGTCCCTAACAACATCCATAATCTAAAATACAGTTTGGAAGAGCCTAAACATGGTTCCCTGGAACAGATAAAGTGCATTTATAATGTTCAAAACAGCCCCATTTATAAACGTCTCCAGGTCCCCAATTACCTCTTTAATCCTAAATGGCACTAGAAACCACCTAAACTCAGATGGAGGGGCATTATTAGGAAGGCCAACCAAATGAAACAGTCCAGATTATAGAAGCAGTCATAGAACACAAACCATGGAGGGAGACTTGAGGAACACTGTCATATCATAAGAGACCTTATATAAAAAATGATTACCTTTTCAAATAAACTGCCACATATATCAGAATGAGCAGCATCAATAGTTTCCTGAGGAATACATAGCATGACTCTCAAACGGGTCAGTGCTTTAACATCCTCATCACTCAACTCTCCATCAGCTGTGCATTGCTGAAGCTTTTGCCAGTAAATTTCTGGAAGTAAAGGAGGCATTAGTTCCATTAAGCATAGAGAGTCAGAACCAGCAAAAAGAAAAAAACAATCTTCTAGATACTTGAGATGAGATTTTAAACACAGATGGCACTAAACAATATTTGTTACCTTCATGAATCTCAGTGGCTTTCTGTGGATCAAAGTGCAACTCCTCGCAGAGATTTTGTAGGAAGGCTGCTTTGCTATCGGCAAATTCTAAATCACCACTTGAAACAGCCTGAGCAAGTCGTTTACGGTATACCTTTGAAGTAACGTCAAGTATAATTGTTTCTGCTTCCCGTTTACCTAAACCAAATATATTCTTCAATTGGTTTAATGCAGCAAGCTACAAAAAGGAAAATAAGAAGGGGTTTATGACATAAACAAATGTCCAAAGAACCTGATGAAAAGGTAGATGTAAAGTATGAATAACACAAATTTCTTATAAACATATCAATAAAGTGTAAAGCAGCATTCATCACCTTATGTTCTTCCATGCGACCACCTGATAACGCATCTGTTATATATGCCCTATAAAGGAGCTTCAAGTCGTCTATCTTTCTCTCATTATCATACTCACCACCTAAGGTGCAAACACTTTAGTATCAGCTGAAAAATGACATGTCAAAAACTTGATCATTAAAAACATGAAAGCAAGATCTCCTTAGGATCCAGACCTAGTACAGAAACTGGACCAACTCCACGGGCAAACAAAGCTGCATCAGCATGGTTCTTTAATGAAATAAGCTTATTGTTGAATTCCAGCATCTTATCAAGCTCTTCCACAACTTTCGCAACATCCTGGCTGTAAAACCTAATTCAATTAGATGGTGCAAAAGATATAACTGCAAGTACGGAAAGGAATACAGATTCTTTGACACATCAAAAATCAGGTTTTTTTTTTTTTAATTTAAATAATTAAGAATTTCAGTAAGACATTCAGAAGCTGCAATTTGAGCGGTAAGGATCATACATTGTTCTAGTTCTGGATTTCAATCTATCAAGTGCCGCTGAAATATTTTCCTCAATCAGTTTTCTTGTACGCTGCCTAAACAAGTCCTCTGCAAGCTGTCAGAAACAAAACATGTCATGTAAGGTGAAAAAATAGATACCAAAACGCAAAAGGACCATCAATGAGAAATTGAGAAGAAGGAACCTCATCAGAAAGTCGATAAGAAATCTGTGCTTGTCTGAGGTTAACAAGCTGATCCACATCAATATCTATTTGGAGAAGGAAGAAACAAACACATGTTAGAAAAGGTGAAAAGAAGGCAAATTAATTTTCAACTCAATACTTGCTATCAGTAAAATGGTCAATCTAAGCATGTGTTTAAAAACAAAGCTAATGAAAAAGACTATATACAAAGTAATAAACTATTCATGCCTAAGCACTTCAACCCCTCACCCACAGCGCGCGCGCTCACACACACCCCAGCTAGAGTTAAAAGCATAATCTAAAAAGAAGAGAAACAAAAATCACTCTGAAATTAAAACTAGAGCCTTGAATAGTAGTATTAACTAACTAATCAAGTAGATTAGTTGTTACTGATAACCAATGATTAAGGATATCACCTGTTACAATGCACGAACATAGCACATCTCAGTCAGATGAAAGTTGAATTACCATGGGCAGAACCCAAACTAGCTATAGATTAAAGTTGAAAATGGCTGAAACAGCTTGATATTCATAAATTACAGCATTGCTTGCCACTGAAATCAGCTAAGACAAAATAAAAGTAACATCAAAGACCTTTATTTATGTTAAATTTACCTTTGCCAACTGATTTTAGCTTTGAAGCATATAACCTCTGGGCATTATCACGGATAGAAATTTCAACCTGACAGATTAAAATAATAACAAAAATTAAAATGTTGAGACTGACAAGAACAATATATAATATCAACAAACAGGGCGGAATGAAAACCAAAAGGTATTCATTTTGAAATTCAATGCATGCTGACTTTTGTCAAAATATAAAAAGGCAGGACAGAAAATATGCCACTGGTGACAAGACACTCAGTCTGCTGGCAACACAAACCAAGTTCACAGAGGGTAGAAATAGAAACAGTTGATAAATAACTACCTGGGAATCGGTGACCTTGAAAACACGCTTCCAAGGTAAAAGAAATGATGATGCTTCTCCAAAAACAAGAGTTGAAACATATATCAGTTTCTGAAATGCCTGCACTGGAGAATCAGTAATAATGGTCAAGCTCCATATCTTCATTCAGAATTTTCACACACCAATGTCTCCAGATTCAGAAACTAGCAAAACTACAAATGACCTACCCGACGCTGCTCTACATCACCATCACGATCTCCAGTTTCAAGCCTTTGCCTAAAAATCCGTCTCCCAAGCTACAAACCAGTAAGCAATATAGAAGTTTAAGGAAACATTTCTCAAATTCGCTTCATCCATAACCATAAGCATACTCAACCTCCACATGCATACATTTAGCTAACATAACAATACCTCCACATGCATGCTAGCCGCATCTGGGTCATCAATGCCCAAAGCATTTTTGAAGTTGACAATTGTTTCAACTTCATTTCCCTTAAGTTCTTCACCCCCAGGAGGAAGGACAGAGGACACAAACCTAAACCAAAACCAAGGTAGAATAACCAAATCTTAATAAAGGATGAAAACAAGCTCCAAAAGCAAACTCTTCAACAAATTACTACAAACACACATACAACATCGATTCCAACTTACCGGCAGTATATATCACAAAGCTCTTGATTAAATGTCTCATCTTGCTTGCTCACACCATACCTGCAAAATTCAAAAATCAGAAAAAAAAATTTCAAAAAAACTAACAAAAGTAAGCTAAATACACAACAACTCAAGTCCCTTGGCACCAAATGAGCAGAACAAAAAACCAATGCCAACAAAAAGCAAAACCCTTTTTACAATTACAAAAATAAACAACTTTCTGCTCCAATTCACCAATAATTCACACACTTCACACATGATCTTAACTATAGCCAACATACATAAAACACACCAAAGCATTAACGAACAAAAATCCAAACTTTAACTAAAAAGCACCAAATTTTTGGTAAAGAAGGAATAAAAATACAAACTTCAACAGGTAAACCAAAATCCAATTGAAGTAACTGACTTTTTGGCAATGCCTTCAATCTCTTCTTTACTAACTTGAGTAGGATCATCAAACCCAGAAACATAATTATGCAAATTTATCGCCGCAACCTCGGGAACAGCCGAATTCAACGCAAACACCACCGCCCCACCAGCCGCCCCGGCCACGGCAGCACCACCAAGAGCCAAATTCCGAGACCCGCCACCGAACTTAGTCCCTAAACCATACCCAGCAGCTAAAGCTCCAGCTAGGATTATCGCCGAGCTCACTAATCTTAGTGGCGGCGAGAGATTGCTCACTATAGGTTGAACTCCTGTTAGCTCTCTCTTTCCTCCGAAAACATTATCGGGTTTTGATTCTAAGGTGACGTCAGAAGAGACTTCGGCGGCGGAGCTACGGGGGAGGAGACGCGGAAACGGTGGCGTTTAGGAAGCGTTAGAGAGGAAGGAGTGAGCTTGAGAGGGGGAGGGGAGAGGAAAGAAGTGGAATGAGAGGAAGTGAGGAGAGAAGGGTTCATTTGGTTGTGTTAACGGCGTCGTTTTCGACGTGGAGAAGGAGGAGGTTTATAGGGTTTAACGAAGAGGGGAGAGGAAAGGAGGAGGAGAAGGATAGAGAAAGATCGGAGGAAGGTGAAACAACAAGATAAAGCTGTGCATAGTATTGAGTAAATTATTATTTGGTTCCTAACATATGAAATAAATTATAACCTAGTCCTTAATCCTTAAAAGCATACAATATAGTATTTAGTAAATTATTATTTGGTTCCTAATATATAAAATAAATTATAACCTAGTCCTTAATCCTTAAAAGCATATAATCTAGTCCTTTCTTTGTACTTGCCCATTGTCTTTTAAAAAAATTGGTTAGCTCTTCTCTAATCTTTCACTAGTTAGATTATTCTGTTAAAAATTAAATTCTCAAATTCTTGATACGAGATTAAAAAAAAAAAAACAATACTTGTTTTAACAAGATTACATTCAACAAGAGTTGAGGGATTAAGTTATAAGTTTTCAAAAATGAAGGATTAAAATATAATTGTTTCAAAACCCAGACAATAGAGAATAATTGAGTATCTAACATTTACCAGACTTGGTGTAAAGGATGTGGGCTTGTGGGTTGAGGGATGGGATTTGTGGAGGGTTTTGGTTTTGTAAATGGGCTTATCAGGTGAAAGAACTTTTTTTTTTTTTTTCAAATCAAATCCTCAAATTAGTCATTCATTTATTTAAATTTTGCTAGTTAGTTTTTTTTTTTTTAATTTTGAAAAAAAAGTTAACATTAAGCATTTTCTAGTTAAACAAAACCATGAGGTTTTAAGATGTATTTCTCTCTTAAACTTGAAGGAAAAAAAAACTTTCCATTTTATTTGTTACATTCATGTTAACATTATTATTCTCATTTGAATATTGTTATTTTGAATTTATCATATTTTACAGATGAAAATACTTATTAAAAAGATATTAAAAAATTTATAAATATTGTTTGGTTATCAAGAATAAAAGAGTTAGGAATTAATTGAAGGATTGGGATGAAAATTAAAGCATCAAAATGACATTTTAATTCTAATCCTATGGAACTGTAACAAAAAAAAAATCGGGATAAAATTTAAAATTTTTAATGCTTGGTTTTTAAAATTAAAAAAATTCATTTACAATGATGGTAATAAAAATAACAGAGGTAAAACAAAAAAAAAATGACAATAAAAAATAGAGTTAATGATATTTTAAGTTCTATTTCCTCTTTTTTTTAAAAAAATAATAATTTCAAATATTTTAAACTAAGAAATCTCAAAGAACAAAGAGATTCAAATCCTCTTCGAATTTCCCTATTTTAGCATTTTTTTGGATAGTTAGAAATGGCACTGAGATTCAAATCCTTTGTTACCTTCTCTCTCTCAATCTCGAAGGTTTTTTCCTCTCAAAGTTAAAGGAGAGAAGAGTATCAAATCTTTGGTTAGTAGCTGGAATGAAGCTTTGGTTAAGAAGATTTTGGACAAGCAACATGCTGAGGGATTCCCTACCATATATACATTTAAGTCACTGTGTATTTTGCATAATTCAATTTAGTCCTCATTTCTCAAAAGTTATTTGCAATTTTATCCTTGATTTCAAATTTTCATTTCTTTTTGAAAACTAGTTTAACTTAAGTCTTTTTGAAAAATAAAATCGAAAAAATTTTATAATACACAAGTAGTAACTAGTGGCATATACAGTAGTTACTCCTTGTATCCACTTTGAGGAGAGAGATAAATGCATAAAAAAGAGAGAAATTACATTTATATCCACCAAAAGTGATAAAAAGATTTCCATCTCGCTCAAATTTTTTTATTTTCTCTCTCCTATTTTTCTCTCTCTTTTTTTGTGTATCTATCTCTCTCCTCAAAGTAGTCAGAAATAACTATCGTATACGCCACTGATTCTTTCCTTGTGTATTATAAAATTTCTCAATAAAATCAATACCCCGCATAAATTGAGCTTGCTACTGGTTTAGAATCGTTAGAGAAAGAAAACTGGGCCTGTTCCTGGGCCTGGGCCTGGGTCTGAGCTTAAAGGTAGTTTTGGACTTTATCCAGCTTAAAAGAGACATCTTTCATCTGCTGTCTATCTTTCTTCAACAATGGCAACCTGTTGTCTCCGCTTCCCGCTCTCTCCATGGCTGCTCCTCAAAACCCCAAAGCCAAAACCCTCCTTTAGATTTCCATTTCCAGTTCTACCCTCCTCAAGACACATTCAACTATTATATCTCTGCTCTTCCTCTCAATCTCCGCCGTCCATTTCTCCTCCCTTAACAGACTCAAACTCAAATCAGTCCCTCCATTCAAAATGGGAACCCATTCGAAAGAAAAAGGTTGTCTTGCGGGTTGGCTATGTGGGTACTGATTATAGAGGTCTATTTGCATAAACCCTTTTCAGCTTTTTAGTTAATAAAGTTTAAATTTTGTAGCTTTATATTGTTTTTGCTTACGTGTGTATTTTTGTTTTTTGATATCCAGGCCTTCAAAAGCAACACGACGAGCATTCGTTATTAAGTAAGTTCGTAATTTGGCGTCTTGAGTAGTAATTGTGAATTGTGAACTGTGAAAGAGTTATCTGTAATGGGTTGGTTTTATATGTGAAGATATTGATTATGTTGTGTAATTTAATTCGTTTGGCTGAAATATTCATGGTGTTTTGATATAGGCATGATTTCTTTTTTCTTTTGGAATATGCAGCTATTGAAGGAGAATTGGAGCGTGCTATATATGAGGCTGGTGGGATTCGTGAAAGTAATTATGGCAATTTGAATAAAGTTTCCTGGGCTAGAAGTAGCCGGACGGACAAAGGAGTGAGTTTTTGATATATAAAGCACTTTTTGATCATTTTTTTTATTGCATTTCTGTGTGTATGGCATTCAGTTGGTGATGATTTGTTTGCTTGCTTGTGTATCTCCTGGTTGAATTGATTAGGTTCATTCTTTGGCAACAACAATAACAATGAAAATGGAGATACCAGAAAATGCATGGAAGGACGACCTTTGTGGAATGGATCTTGCAAAACATGTTAACTCTTATCTTCCTGATAGTATTAGAGTTTTGAGCATCTTACCTGCACAGAAGTGAGGTTCTGAGCTCTTTTCATACATATCAGTACCATAAACCCCACAAATTTTTATGTCAAAAAAAGGTCATCTGCATGTATATTTATTATCAAAGGTGCTACATTTATGCATGTTCTATTTACTTTATTATCTAATCTAGTTTTCAAGATGAAGATTAGGCTAAGCTTCTTGTAAGTTCTATCTAACTCAGAGCAGTGATTTAGTGACCAGAATACTGAAAGAGAGTACTATCTACTATTAAAGATTATGCCCACTTGAAAATTGAAATCTGTGGGAATCATTAAACTGCAGTGCTTTTGGTTTACTGTAAACATGTTGTAATCTGATTCCTAATATTGCCAAGGAAACAAGATTCCTAGTAATGTCAATAAATATAGCAGATATGATGCTCGTGTAAGAGAGAGAGAGAGAGAATTTATACATCTTGATTGGGTTGTACATGCAAAGGCTCCGAAAGTTCTTGACAACTAATTGCTGTAGTGAATTTGCGATTATGTAATTTAGGTGAATTTTAGTGATAAGATTGTTCAAAAGCTTCACCTACTCTGTATTATAGTTAAACTTTGTTTTTCCTGTCTTTAAATTTTTGTCACTTGTGTCTGCTGCTTTCCATATTGCCCATTCTTTTTTATTCTACAACTTGTTTTTAGGAGTTTTGATCCTAGAAGGGAGTGTGATATACGGAAATATTCTTATCTCCTTCCTGCCGAAGTTATTGGCATCACAAGTCACTTTAGTAAGGCTCAAATTGATGATCACATATCAGACTTCAAGAAAATATTAAATGCCTTTGAGGTGTGTATCATTATCTTTGATTTCATTTTTTTTTTCTCATGAGTCTTGTTTTTTCCTTTTCATTAGTAGATGAAACATTTCTTGCTGGCACATATTTGAATTGCTTTGTTAGTTGCTACTAACGAATTGTTTGGGGGAATTTCATTCCAGATGCTACTTTATTGGCTTTGTTAGCTATTTTCATTTCTGTCGTTCACTTGAAAATGTTGGCATGGCATTTGATTCGGGATTCATATATTTTATGGTTCTTCCAACTAGTGTTTTATGCTTTTAGATGGTGTTAGAAGTTATGAACTGCTGTGTGAGAGCCAATTGTGTGATTATTGCTGGGGTTGATTTAGATATTAATACCCTCTCCTCAGATCTATGTTGAAACTTCTCGTCTGTCATTTTATTGCATGTGAATGCCATGCAGTTCAGAAGAGCCTAAGATCAATATAATAGAGAGTCCATATAAATTATGCATGGGATCATTTTTCCCCTTGTTATTTGCAGTTGTGATTCAAATGCACTTTGCAGGGAGATCATCCTTTCCATAATTATACGGTGCGGTCCAAGTACCGGAGAAAATTTCCAACAAATGGCCTCGTGTCAAAGAGAGCAAGATCATCTGGTGGGACATCAGCTTCTGGATCTGAGGAGAGTGATGAGGAAGAAAATTTGGAAATTGACGGAACGATTTCATTAGATCATGCAGAATTGAGTCAGAACTCTATGGAATCCAGCATTTGTCATCTGAATGGGGATATATTGAAGGATCAAAGTTCAAATACACCTCTTCATGCAAGATGGCTACATGAACCTGATGAGACAGACAGAATAGGTGCTGCCCACTTCAGAAAGATTTTCCGCTGTTCTTGTGGAAAGCTGGAGAAATCTCTTGGATTTGATTTTATTGAGATTTCTATATGGGGAGAGTCTTTCATGTTACATCAGGTTAGGACCTTTCTTTTTTTGCATAATTAATAATCTTTTTAATCATATATAACACTTAGGCTCATGTATTATTTTTACATCCATTGTCACCTAATTAATTTCACAGGAGATAGAAGCGCATGCTGTATGTATCCTTTGCAAGTCTCTTGGTGATTGCTTAAAGGGAGCTTTTAAAAATCTAATCTTTAAGGAATTTGTCAAGAAGGGCGTAAAAGCCTAGTATAATTGAGATAACAAAAATTACTGTTAAACTGCTTACTCACCCCTTTCAGAAGTTAATCTATGCTAATTTAGGGCATGGTTGTTATGCGTTTTAGTTAAGCTGGTGTTCTGAAATTAATATATTGAGGAAAAAAAGAAAAAAAAAGTTTTTACCTAAACTTGTTGTGGTGCCTGCTTCAAGTAATTTCAGTTTTAATCCATATCAGAGAAATTTGTGGAGGCAATGGATCCATGTAGCTGATGTCATCCAATTTGGGATTTTGAGGCTTATTTGATTTGAGCTGTACTTTTATTGATTCCAGGAACCCCTGTGATACCCATTATGCCCATTTCATTTTCAGAATTCACCATTACGTGACATGGAGCATTTCATTCTGGTGTTTCAAACCATGATTGATGTGAAAATGAAATGTTAAAAATCACATGACTATAGAGTTGAATCTGACTCTTGTTGTTCAGGGATTGTTATCTATCTTATGCACACAAGCCTGTCCCTTATTTACGCTAATCGATGTGACCTATATAACTCCGACCTTATTCTTTTGCCGTCCCTACTAGTCATTATGTCTGTACTGTATACAATACAGAATGATTGATTCCTCTCATGTTTGAAATCTTTGACACCTGTAGCATCTTTTCTTCTTCATTGGAGAAAAAATTTAAGCAAACAAAGCTTATTGTGTTCTGTCAGTGTTCACTGATGTGTTTCACGTATTTTCTTACATAATTGTTATGTGGTTCACCAGATCCGCAAAATGATAGGGACTGCTGTCGCCATAAAGCGGAAGGTACTTCCAAGAGATATCATAATGTTGTCACTGGCAAAGTTCTCAAGGATTGTCCTACCCCTTGCTCCATCTGAAGTTCTGATTTTGAGGGCCAACGATTTTTCTTTGAGAAAAAAATCTGGCGAAGGAAAAAGGCCTGAAATGGAGACAATGGTCGAATCGAAAGAGATTCTCAAGGCTGTGAATGAGTTTTATACTACTATGATGCTACCTCAAGTTTCAAAATTCTTGGACCCTTGTAAGCCTCCCTGGAAAGAATGGGTTGAGAATTTGGACGAGTACACAAGCATCCCTGATGCACAATTGGACGAAGTCAGGAGTGCTTGGAAAGTCTGGAAGGAAAATTTTCAGATCAGAAAAGGCATTGCATCAGCCGTAAATCAGTGAAACAAGGTAAAGCACTCCTCTTCCGACTCGTGATTTATTTGCCAGATTTTCACGATCTGATTTGTTTTTTGTCTGTGAGGTCTAACCAGGCGAATTATCTATGATGCCAGAGCCTCTGCCTCCCTATCTATACTGTGGTGATTGGTTCTTGCCAACAATACGAGATAGCCATTTGCAAAGCTGGTTGAGCATGCCCCTTTACCATTTTGACATGCTGCTATTTGACTGGTCATGGAAATACCAGGGCAATACCCAGTTTCTGTTTATGATGCTGAATTAGGTTGTTCGGATGATTAACTTCTGATACCATAGCACTGCTAATGGCCAGGGATCGCACGCTACGGTATATCACCCTTGCAACTTCTTGCATGTCAAACACTGGTGATGGCTTCCAAGTTCTACATGTCCTCCAATATGGAGAGAGATTGAATTGGCTGAATAAGAAGCTTTCCGATCACAAGTAACCAAGGAGGAAGATCTATGGCAATACTTGAGTGAAAGAGTTCTTGGCAGTTTTGGGGTCTTGTTGACTGCACATGAGATATTAGGTCAAAGCATGTTGCATCTTTCGCGTATCATGCAGAAATAGCTTTTTATAAAAGTGTAATTTCTTAAATGTTGGGAGTTTTTATGCCTTAATGAGTTTTGTGGTCTAGTCTCTAGCCATCTTTTTGCTGATTCTCCGTATCTTTTGGTGGACTAGATTATAAATTAGTCCCCTTAGTTTCAGAACTAAATTAAATAGTTCTCTTTGTTTCAAAAATTGATTATTTAGTTCATTGATTGATATAGACAATGCTTAATTTCATATTATTTATTTCAAAATACGTTATCTTTTCTCATCAAGCATTTCATATTTTGTATTTTATTTCTATTTCTTAAAAAAAAAATTAAATTAAATTTGAAAAACGAAAAGAATTAAGTTACAAGAAAAATTAAAAATATAAAGATAAAATAATTACTTTTAGAAGCAAGAGAGATTATTTAATTTTTTAAAAAAACTAGAGAGATTAATTTATAATTTATTCTCCTTTGAGGTCTTAATATATTATCTCGACTCTAAACTGAAATATTGTTTTTATTGGTAAATAGGTTTGCTTTTTGTATTATTATCTTATGTTTGAATTTAAAAATATATATATATTTTCAGAACATTTATTAAGTTTTTAGTATATAATAAAAATTGGTACGAGAATATCTTGATAACTTAAGAAGAAGAAAAAATAAGTTTTCCTAGTTGATAATATATAAATATTTTTGTATTATTATTTTATTAAAACATTGAATTTTCAATCTCAGATGCAATGACAGTGATTTTTATATATGCATACAAAAAACAATTGAAAAAAATTACATTAAAATAGAATTGTTATATGGTGGAAATTATTTGATGCCTTAGACGTCAATTTCGTCTTTGCTTCGTTCCTAAAAATCGTATTACGATGATGTGTAAGCATATTGTCGCTATAGCACGTCTATTGATAAATGCTTTGTTTTATTCTTAAAAAAAAAAAAAAAAAAGAGGTGAAACTTCTTTTCAAGAATAAGAAATGTTGGAAATTATGAATGCTTTGTTTTATTTTGAATATAGAAAGCATATGAAATTAAAACGACTGAATCATGACGGTGGACGAAGACTGATTTCCATGGGAAAACTACAAATATACCCTTAACGTATTGGGTAGGTTTCAATTTGGTCCCTTTGATTGCACAAAAGTTACACCTCAATCTTTCAAATTATGCTGATTTCTTCTCTATGTCATGAGGTGGATGCTTATTTGCTTCATTAAATTACAAGCTAAACTTACTTGGTATAATAATAATAACAATAAAAATAAAAATAATTTTTTTCGTAAAATTCATGTATAGACAATTCTTTTTAATCACTGTCTTTTTTCTATACCTACTCCCACTTCTTTAACAATAAAATTCAATCAACTTCATTCATTATTTATTTTATTTTTAAATGTCTATTCTCACACACTTTTATAAGTTATAATTCAGCTTCAACATCAAATAATAATAAATTATATCCTTTTAACTTTGATCAACCGAACATTATTGCTTCATATTTATAAGCATTGATGGTTACTTACTTAAAAAACTTTAAAGTGTGATTTCTAGAATGCATGCTGCGCCCTAAACATTATGAGTTAGAAGTGGGAAATTGAATAGGAATCTAATGGGAATGATTAACATCCAACTAATTGGAGGGAAACAATTGGCACAATTTCCGTAGGTTGAGGGTAATATTGGTGCAATCAAGAGAATAGGGACCAAATTTGAAAAATATCTAATAAGTGGAGTGCATATTTCTATATCTTCCATATATCTTCTTTGTTGTTATTAGTATTCCATTTTAACGATAGTATATTTTCAAACTCTTACAAAATCATTATCTGTGTTCATGCCTCTACAACAAGAATTCTGCCATCACATATGGCCTTCTTTGTTATGGTGTGGTCGATCAAAGAGAGGAAGGAAGCACGATCTATTGGTGAATCAAGAAGAGAAAGTTCTAGCTAGAGATGGTTCTACACCTAGTAAAATTGCCCTTAATTGCCTTCAAATTACATTATTAATTAGTAACTCACTCAAAAGCTTGATGATCACTACGTGAAGGAGAGAAATGCCAAATAAACGAACAAAAGAAGAAAAAAGAAGGACGTGAAGCAATCAAACATTTTGTTGCCATTTGCTTCTCATTGTACATAAAAACAGATTGACTCACATGATGCACATTTATATGATCGATATTGCATGTCCAGTTTTTGGATTTTCTCTGCAGCATATCAAAAATCACAGATTCACATGTGATGATAAGAGATGAAGAAAGCAACCTATGATTGGCTACTAGATAGCAACTGCTTTGTTTTGCTTCATTCTTGCTCACTAACTTCAATCCATTTTTGTATCCCTTGCAATACTACTTGTTTAACCACTTGAGCATCAACATGGTCATCACCTTCTTTATTCTCCTGTAACATCAACAAAAACTATATATTAGGGATCAAAAAAATTTTCGTATCGAACAAAAAGCCTCAGATATAAAACCTTCGATTGAGCTACAGTTCATTGGAGTGTCACATAATAATTTAAACTATTAGGTGAAATTTCATAAACAGTTTAATATTACTTTTTTAACAATCAATTATGTATAAAAAACTTTATGAACGTTCAATCTGTGTTTGCTCAGGCGCATGTTTGAGAGAAATAGCTAGAGCATGGATTATAAGTTTGTGCATAAAGATAAGTGGCAAATAAAACCTATGCTTCTCTTCTTACTCTTGTAGCAATAGCTTCTAAAAGGAAACTGTCTGAAGTAGAAACCCTAACTTGGAGCACCTCAAGGCTGAGCTCTTCAAAAGCTTCCAATATGAATACGAGCAATCCCTGACAATTCCTTTTGGTGAACACCTTAATCAGAAAATGATTCTCTTGTTCTTCTACTCTAATCTGTTAACGTTAAAAGAGGGGAAAAAAAAAAAAAAAACCCAAGTTAAGATCAGAGAGGACCCCATTTCATGCAAACAGTTCTCTTCTGAATTCAATACCATACCGTGGGTAAATTCTGGCCAGTAAAGCTTGCAGCTGTAGCAATGTCTTGATTCAAGTGTTCTACCCTTTGCTTTAAGTCCTGTATGTAATTTGATGCATCTAATACGATAGAGGCTTTGTCATGCTGCTCATGTAACAACACACATGGATAATTAATGATTTATTAATAATTTAGATCCCATGAAAACTATAGTAATCATTAGCTAGCATACTATATTAGCTATCCAATCTTTGATCAGCTATGAAAATGAAGCTTGCTGAATTATCACCCTTTAAAAAATGAAAGTCAAGTAGAGATTTGTAACGAATATATACCAAAAGATATTATAAGCTTCTTTGATCCATCAAAGAAAAGAAAAACATAAGGGATTATTGGAAACCTTAAAGTAACTATAGGACACATAGTAGAAGTTGAGAAGAAGAAGAAGAAGAAGAAGAAGAGAATGATGATGATGATGATGATATTGTGATGATAGCTAGTAAACTTTAAGCTTTTGACAAAGACAAAGGACATGCAAGAAGGCCAAGAGAACTTGTTGTAGTTAAAGATATTGAGAGTATAGATACACTACCGCATGAGAGTTGGTGATGGAACGAAGAAGTTGCAGCTTCTTATACATGGCTGCCCTTTTTTGCTCCCTAGAAACCATGACTTCTCTCTCTCTTTTTCTCCCAAGTTTGTGTGGCTGCCTGGCTGCTTAAATAGGAAAGAAAAGTAAGTTTTGTCGCAATAAATAATTGTGGGAGTCCAAATTGTAATCCTTGAGAGGTTTTTTACTCACTTGCCCTAGCTCAAATAGTTATAAAAGGAAAAAAAAAAAAAAACTATTGTAAGAGACTATGTACATTGTAAATTAGGTTAAAGAACTTGTCTTTTTTCTTAACATCAACAATACCTCTCATCATGGGGCCAACCCAAGTTACAAATTTTATACTTATCTATTTCTTCTCCATTTTTAAAATCAATGATCATTCCCTTGCATATGTATGCATAGGAGGATCATCCTAATGTGCATTTTCTATGTTGTGCATGCATTACAAATTAGGCCCACCACCTATTTGTAATTCGATATACTCTTTTTAAAATTAATAGTAATATCTTCTAAGTATTATTAAATTTATTCCTCATTGATTAATTAAAATTTTACGGTCTTAATAATCATGAATTTTTGAAACCAACTTTCATGTTAATCAAATCTCACAAATATATATATATATATATATATATATATATATATATATATATATTCACATTTTTGCTTCCTAAGCATGGGATTTTCTCGTCACTTCATCCTACATAGCATTTAATTTTCACACTAATTAGGGTTGGCTATGATATTTATTATCTAAAAGAAGTTTTTTTTTTTTACATGCTTAATTGTTTAATTAGAAAAAAGAGTGAGGTGGTGAGATTCGTTTTAACACCATATCAAAAATTCATTTTAATCTAAAAAATTAAATTGTTAAATGAGATTTTATAAAATGATTTATATTATTATCTAACTTAGAGGAACTATCATTCATGCCATTATAAGCCTAGTAGGATACCCATCCATCATAATTTTTTCTAATAAATACGACAATATACTTTCATGTTAAGTAATTATCAACTTTTTTACTGTCTTTGCATGAAAAGTTGAAGCAAGCTTGACTGGTTCAATATATATAAGACATAGCACATATATAACATAGTTGGAATACATGGAGATCAATAGAGAGATAAGGGGTATATATAGTTAAATCAAATAGGCTATTGATTAGTGGGGGCATATATAGGAAGGAATGGAAGAGATGTTTTGCATGGAGAGATTGGATGGCATACATATATACAATATATTCTATAGAGAAAGAATTTGGGTGGTGATGGTGGGGTTAACGTGAGAGGAAGGAATCTACTCGTGATCGAACACCATCGAAAGTAGCAAAAATGAAGCGTCAAAGCATGTTCCAGTTGTGTTTTCTGAATGCCTCCAAGTTTTCCTCACGGGAAGGATAATTCTCTCTGATCTGTCTCCACTCTTGGCTACCTTCCTATCATTCCAAAAAAATTTGAACCTTTTAGTTTGGGTTGAAATCAAGGCATGGAAATCCATATATGCCTTTATTCCTCCAAATGGTAACATCAAAAGATTTTTTATTTTATATATGTACTATTCATATATAAATTGTGTTGTCTTGTATATTACATGCTTCCATCTTTCTCAGACACGGACAAGCAAAAAAGAAAAAATGGAATTTTACCTTAGCTGTAAAATCATTTGATCTCAATGCATCAACTAATTATTGGCCATTAAAAAATTAATATGAAAAGTTTAAGAATTATTGGTTCGGTGATTATATAGGGTTTTGAGCTCGATTGGTTTGTATCTATAGAATTATTTGAATTTCATCTTAAAAACTTAAACTTATGTTGAATCGACCAATCTCAATTTTATATGTTATTTATATATTGTTTATTTATTTGACGTGGAATTAATTCTCTACATTCTTCATCACTTATAACTTATTAAAAAATAATATAAATTATATCATGATGTTTCATTTAAATTTTTAATATTTTGGGTTAAGAAGGTTTCTTGATTTAGTATAAAAGCCTTGATCACTAAATAATCACTAGTTCGAATCTACAACTATATTTCTCTCTAATTAAATTAAAAATTAAGCATATGCAGCAGTAGATCTATACAAATTTCAAGTCTAAATGACTTTCACTTAAGAAATGTATTGAAGAATAATATAAATCATATTTTAAAACTTCATCTAATAATTTAAGTTTTTAAACTGAGATGGTTCCTTGACACATGTCATTTTTTAAACTTTGTCAAATGATTTGAATTTTAAAATCATTACTCGCCATTGGATTTTTTTAAACTTTGATACCATATTGAATAAATAAAATAAAATAACAATCTATAAGATGATGCATCAAATTAGGTACTAATTATCCCTAATATTGAAATTAATATTTTTTTAATGATCAATATATTTTTGAACCATCTTATTTTTCTCCAAGGCTGACTATAGGGGAAATTAATGTCTTTACAGAAACTTATACGATACCTGTTCAAAATTTCACATTTTATTTGAAAGAAAATTGATTTGCGACAGGCAGAAACTATTGTTTTTTGTTGTTGCCGTTTTGCGAGAAGCTTTATCCCATGTTTCATGCCAACTCCTTATAGTTTCCATTTAGAATTTCCCTCTAATCATACTATGAAATGGATGAGTTTGTGCAGAACGCTTCATCTCCCTTTGGAGCCATTGTGGGACGGGTTGCCAATAGAATCTCTGGTGCTCAATTTACTTTGAATGGAACTCATAATAAACTACCAGCAGATTTTACCTGTTCAAAATTAAGGAAAATACACACACTTGCCGGCAGATTTTACCTCTATGGGACAAAATTGAGTCTAAAGTTGAAGAATCATTGATTGAATCCCAAGACCAAAACCAAAATTCACATCATTAATGTACTTGATCTTCCGTCGTTGCTTTTACAATGTTTCTCAATCTTTTAATCAGTTAAGAATTAAGGAAGTGAACTGGATCATAGAATAGAATTCGATTATGTCAATGCAGTGTTTTGATGCAAGAAGAAGAAGGTGTGCCCTTGTTGCCTTGCTTTAATGTCTATATCTAAGGCTAAGGTATTATTTTGATGCACAAACATATATGTGTGTGTATGTGTATTTGATGCACAGATATATGTATGAAAAGGATACATGTAGATTAGTGCATAACAATATTTGTGTAATATTGTGTTAAGAAATCAAGGTCATTTACCTTTTCAAAAACTAGAAATGGATTGTAAGAAATTCTTATCTTTTCTTCCAAATATTTTGGAGGATATGATGTTAGTCCCCGAACTACATTTTCAACACACAAACACTATAACTTTTAAAGTATTGCCTTAGATTGTCAATTCATTAGACGATGTGGAAATAACAAGTTAATTTTTTTTTTAATGAAAATTGATAATGATATAAATGATCCATTAGCTAACAAATTAATTTCCACGTCATAAATTTGAACTGGATTGCTACCACCAAGAGATGTGACCTAAGAGTAAAGAGATTGATTTGATTTAATCAAGCTCAAAATTCAATTCTTATTATTCATTAATAATTAGGTATAATTATCTCTTAGCATTATTAAGTTTGGGCTGATTTGATCTAAAATACAGTTCAATAATCAATCAAAAGTTAAGTATGTTTTAACGTTGGTTTAGTCTGAAAAATAATATACTATCTCAATTAAAATTGAAACTGATCCAAAAATATCTAAAAAACTAGATTGCTGCAAAAATATATATATATATTTGTTCTGATTAATTTATATACTAAGACTCTATTAAGAACTAATCTTAATGTACAGAAATTGCTCCAAGAAAATCTTAACAATTAGAACCAATATATAGTTGAACCCTAACCCTAGCTCTTAATTAGTTGTTGACGCTTGCATCTTCAACCTGAGTAACATAACCTGTTTTTTTTATGAAACCAATTATTTCATTATCAATCCTTCCCTTACATCCATCTTTGAAACAGTTAAACAAGTAAATAATTGATACAATCTGAAGCATATATCAATTTTAGCATATAGTTCGTTTGATTGATTTTGTTTGCGATAGTCATTGGTAGGTCATGTGTCAACTGGCAGCTGGGTTTTGCTTTAGAGCTTTGTCAGCATTCAAGCATGGACAAATCAGGACTTCAACAATTCACATGAGTGCCCATTAATCATCACAACCAAACAATATTATCCAGACGCGTTTAGCCCTGCTCCCACTTTGTCCTTTATTTGCACACTGAACCCTATACTCTCTTTTTAGGGTTAATTTTATCGTCTTCGTCACCCAAACTTAGACTTTTCTATCTTAATCAACCTGCTATTGGATCAGATGGTTCAGTTTTACTGGTTGTATCAGTTCTATGTATCTTGATTTTAATTTGGAAAATTATTACTTAATTTCTCATTTTCTTTGTATTTTGAACACATCTTTATGTCATTTCCTTATTGGTTCTTTCTTTTCTAATTTATTGATCGAGTTTATCAAAATAATAATAATGATAATAACCTTCTACTGATCCTGATTTTAGAATCTCTTCGCTGAATGGCATGTTCTCTATCAGCAGTGAAAATATAAGTGAGTAAACATTCCCTCAGATTCGTACTCGTACTTGAGAGATTCCTAACTCATATGATTTGACAACAATTTTTTATTTATTTATTTATTTTATTTTTATGAATTGGATCTAAATTTCATTCAAAGAATAAAAAACAAGATCAATTCATTTTATCATACTTTCAATATTTTGATGTCTCGAGTTAATCAAAGGAGGTGAATTCCTCTCTATTATCGATTCTTTTAATGTCTCTTTTTTTTTCATTAATCATATATAAGAGAATAATTACATCAATTGGGTTTTAAAGATACTATTTTATTTTATTTAATAGAGAATTAATATAAAATCATTTTTGAATCTTATTGATAATTTAAATTTTTTATTTAAAATGGTTAACAGAGTTTTATTGACATTGAATTTTATCAAATTCATTATTTCTTTTAATTATAATTTAATAATACAAGATAGCATTGGTTTATACAAGATTTAAGTCTTAAGAGCTTTTGTTTGAGAGAATGTGTTAA